AGCCGAGGGATAATCATGTAGATGATATGGGATGTGGCGCTTGGGTCTTGGGTTTAGGATAGTTACTGAATGACGGTTCAGGGCGCTCTTCGATGGCGATTGCCGGCTTAGTGTTTAGAGTTTAGGGTATGCAGGCTTTGGGGGTTCAGGACCATATTCCTGATTGAGAAGCTAGAATTACGCGGAAAGTAGAGACTACTGTGGGCTTGGAAACCGCCCGCAGCCTGAACCTGGAATGTGATCTTCCTCCAGCATGTTGCGTCAGAGGGTTAGTTTCGTTCGAGCTCGTCTACTTTGATTCCTTCTGGACCCGCAGACCCAAGTTGTACTCCTCGACACGGTATACAAAAGGCTTCCGTCCACCGTCAACCCGAAGTCGGCAAGCCTAGAGTCAACCCGAAGCCTCACTTCGCACAAAGTCAGAAATGGGAAGCCGGAGTCAAAAAGCCACGCGTGATCAGCTTGTGAAGGTCCCCGCATCTGCATCTTGGGCTCCACCGTCTCCCAGTGGCAACAATTGGATCTTGGGTAGGGCTGAGAAGTCATACAGTGCTCGAAATATACCGCAAAGTCCTAGGTACTTTGTTCTTCTGTTTTGAACCTCTCTGGAGTCCTCTGCAAGTAGGTTTTTCTTTCAGCTTGTGCCCTCGGTTCTTCCCCTCAGCTCCGGGCCTTCGCGGGGATGTCGACATATGTTGACAGATTTTGGGTCCACAGTTGACAGTTAGACTCAAGGCAGAGTACTCAGACATAGATCTTGGCTCTGCGAAGCCGGATATTTTGGTGGGGAGTGGCGTTTGGAAGTGTCTTCAATTCCGCTCACCATCCTCAAAGGCCTCAGAAGATCTGAAGGACCCCAATGCATCAGGGGTTTTAGTTGTACTAGTATCAGTAGATCCCGAAATCTCATTTCAGGCCATCCATGTCATTTCCTAGCATGTCTTCCATCGCCAACCCCAGCCACATCCAACGTACGAATGCGTGTCGCAACCATTTTTTCGGATATCAGGGGCAAATAGGATACCGCAACTTGGACTTCCCAATGATAGCTGCCCTACAAATGGGATGAGATGTGCTGTGTATGGAGTTTAAAGGTGTTTTTGCATTACTTGGGTCATGTAAGGATGAGGCTTAAGGTTGGGTCCGACAATTCTACACCTGACACCTCCCACATCCAAACCTGACTTCTTACGCACTTGCCTTCACCTCTAACTTAAGCACTCGAGCCTGTGCTTGGAAAAGCCCTCGACAACATGAATGCTTCTCCCCTTAGCTCAAGTTCTGATTTCTGCAAGGGTAGCGACAGCCTTCCAACACCCCTGAAGCCTAATCTCAAATCCCTATCCCAAAGCCCTACGCCCTGAATTGTGAGCTGGAAATCCTCATCCTTAAACCCTTCCTGATCCCGTAGATCCTGAACCCTACACCCTAACCCCCAACGCCCAAAAACTAATCTCAAACCCACTTCAGACCTGAGTTAAGTAGAACAAGTATAACAAGGTCTGACATAGAAGCACGAGACGAGAAGTGTAGAAACGCATCGAGGCGTTCTGGAACGAGGGGACCGAACCCCTGGTTAAAGCGTTAGCGCGGAGGCATTGTTATTGACAAGACAAAGTCCTGGAGGGATAGATTTACAGGGTTTAGGGATTGAGGTTTAGAGGTTGGAGGTTGCACTTTAGGGCTTCGTGTTCAGAGGTTCGGATGAGACGACTGGGGTACAGGGCCTAAGAGTTAGAATTTAGCAAGTAAAGTTCCGCTCATGGTTGAGGCTTTGCCCTGTGAGCGTTTATTACGGGCTGAGGTTTAGGCTTTAGGGCGTGTGGCTTCGGGTTGATGAACAAAACCCTGCATGCGGCCCCCAATGGTCATATATACTCTCGTTACGTGTAGGCCCCTCTTAAGTCTTATGGATTATGTTGGGCGTTTATGGCGAGGAGCCTAATTTGTAGAGGTGCAGTCCCAAGCAAGCTTCGAACCCATGAGCTCCAACCGTCAACCTCACAACAGCTAAGATGTTCCTCCTCGACTATTTTCTTCTGCTGCTGCATCTGCTGCTGCCGCTACGGCTGCCACAAGTACTGCTGTGCCTGCTGCTAAGGCTGCTACTGCCGCTGCTACTATTATTGCTGTGCGGCTGTTGCTGCTGCTGCTGCT